CAAACTGAATACATTGAGAAGGTACTTCAGAGGTTCAACATGCAGAATGCTAAAGTTGTTAGCACACCCCTTGGAAGTCAGTTCAAGTTATATGAGGAGCAATCGCCTAAGACAGATGCAGATAGAGAGCATATGAGCAGGGTGCCATATTCTTCAGGCATTGGAAGTCTCATGTACGCAATGGTTTGCACGAGGCCGGACATCGCCCATGCAGTGGGAGTTGTGAGCAGATTTGCAAGCAATCCAGGAAAGCAGCATTGGGAGGCCGTGAAGTGGATAATGCGGTACTTGAGGGGAACAACGAATAAGCCACTATGTTTTAGGAGGAAGGAGTTGGTGCTGCAGGGATACGTGGATGCGGACTTCGCCGGTGATCATGATACGAGGCGAAGCACCACGAGGTATGTTTATACCTTAGCGTCGACAGCAGTGAGCTGAGTCTCACGTCTGCAGAAAATTATGACTTTGTCTACAACCGAGGCTGAGTATGTCGCGGTGACTGAAGCAAGTAAGGAGATGATCTGGTTGAACGGGTGCTTGGAAGAGTTGGATCTGAAGCAAGGGAGATGAGTTCTTTATTGTGATAGCCAGAGCGCTATACATCTTGTCAAGAATCCAGTATATCATGCCAGAACGAAGCACATCGACGTCAAATACCATTTTATACGCTCGCTGATCGAGGACGGAAAGTTGCACTTAATGAAGATTTTGGGGAGTCAAAATCCGGCGGACATGTTGGCGAAGGCAGTCACCATTGAGAAACTGGAGTTGTGCGCAACTTCAGTTGGCCTTCACGAGTAGAAGACGAAGGCGGAGCCACACTACGAGGATCGGCGCGATCGCCGGGATGTTGATTGAAGAAAGAATTTTTCAGGAAAAAGATACATGCGAAGAAGGGGAGAGTTCGGGTGAGCTCGTTGATGGCGCTTTGGATTCCAAGTGGGAGATTGTTAGTCTAAGTGTGTAGACCCGAAGCTGCAATCGAAAATACGATGAAAACAGTCAGAAGACTGTGTGGTCGACCGCAGGTCCGCAGTGCCAGATCCGGTCGACCGCGTGCACTGCAGGAAACTGAGAAGTTTCTGTCGCTCTGGCCGGTCGACCGGCGTGGCCGCTGTGGTCGACCGCAAATGTGCATAGGACCCTGTAAACATCTTTTTCTCTGACCGGTCGACCGGCCTTGGCACGGCGGTCGATCGCGAATCGTCCAGACAGTTTCCTAAACTGTTTGGGACTCTGTTTTGTTTCAGGATTCTATATATACCCCAAACGTTTTTAGGGTTTGTAAGACATCAAAAAGAGAGCTTTTTGACTGCAAAGAGAGAGAGAATCTCAGAGAGATTAACCCCTTGTTTGAGAGCTTGTATTTTCTTCTTCAATTAATAAAGAGATTGTGTGGTGTGGCTCCCGAGGACGTAGGCACGTTGCCGAACCTCGTTAAATCTGTGTGTTCATCTCCCTTACTATTTTTTGCAAGTTAGATCTTTATTTGTGGTTTTAATCCTACTTTCCTACTTTCAACACAAGGTCCGGAAGGGCAAGGGTTCAGTTGATTGTTTCGAATCCCCAACAGGTCGGTCGACTGACCAAAGAGCATCAGCCGACCGATTCGACTGCCAGAAAAGCATGTATAGGAATCTCTCTAGTCGGTCGACTGATCAAACAAATCAGTCGACCGATAACGTGCACTGCAGGAACTGGGAAAATTCACTCTGGTCAGTCGACTGATGAATCCCTATCAGTCGACCGATAGTGGGCTGAACGGGTAAAACTGTTTTCCAGTCTGTTTTGGATTTAGGGTTTTTATATATTTAGAAGTGTGTGTGGCTAGTAAAAGAAGAGAGAGTTGATTAGAGAGAGTTTTTTGAACACTTTGAGAGAGAGAGAGAGAGAGAGAGAGAGAGAGAGAGAGAGAGAGAGAGAGAGAGAGAGAGAGAGAGAGAGATTCTATGAACGTGCTCTCCACAAGCACCAACATGCATATATAGCAGGGAATAAAAATTTTCTATAGTTGCTGGGGTTCTGAAGAAGATAGGAAATCACATTTGGATTCAATCAAACTATGCAAAGAAAGATTAATTACCCATTGTAATACTCATTTTGTTCTCGAATTGTAACCAGGTCTCTTTGGCAAATAAATTATAGTCCAGAAATAGATGCTCATTAGATTCAATGGTAGCTAGATTTGAAAAAGGGCGTATAAAGAATCACCAGTCCAACCTTTTTAGCAGATTTTCCTTTTTAGTTTGAAGACTCCACTTTGAGAGGATCCAAAAGATCGAACACCTTGACTTTTGTTAGGTACTACGATTTCCAAATGAGAAGTCGCGCAGAGGACTTGTCATGCCCCCACATTGAGGATGATATGTAAAGATTTCACTGTGAAAATTCCGGGGGTCTGTAGAGGCCCCAAAAACTTCATCGATCGATCCTTGTTGACTCAAGGGTGAAAATTTGCAGATCGAGGAAACCAAGAGTCTGAGATTATGAATCTCTTTTATTCCTCTCCTCAAGTGTGGTCTGCACCATGCACCAAGAAACATTGTGAGGGAATCCCTGCGATGCAACTTCGACATTTGTAGAGAAAGCTAAGCATAAGCCAAAGGGAAAAGGCTAGCTAGAGAACTTGACCTCGTCCAATGTTTGTCCTCCCAAAGTATTACACAAGACCCCTCGCCTAGCTTCCATTGGACAAGACTACTAAATAATGCTTGGTTTATTGAAAATAAATCTTTCCAAAACGTAGAAGCCGTAGGTCTAGGAGGTGTACGTATAAGTAGATGAGAAAAAATAGATGAATTGAAAGAACTTTCCCAACCACAGAGTTAATGTTATTAATTAAGAAAAATGACAAATGGAAGATATCCCATCCATTGGATTATTTAACTCCAACGGACAAAAGTCGGTAAAGATTATAAGACAGGGTTTGCGTCGTTAATTCATTGGATAAGATTATCTAAGCTATCATTATTTAATATTTGATTAAAGTTTAAGATATAATTTTATATCTTAAATTAAATAATTGGGTTATTTCAGTCCAGTAAACAAAGGTTGATGTCAGATTAATGTAAGATAAGGTACATACTATTCAGGGATAAGATAATCCGATCGATCGAGGCAATAATTATTTGATATGTGATTGATTAATGAAGTTTAAGATATAACTTTGAAGTAGCTAGAGAATAATATATTAATTAATATCTGGCTATATCATTATATATCATAAACAACAGCAAATGAGCTATTGCTAACTAAACAAATATATATTTTAATAATTGCCAACAAATATATATATGTTGTGATTATAAAATGACCATGCTCCAACCACACACATGACATGTTACGTAAACAAGTTCCGGCCAGCAAGCAATCGTGTCCACACGCAAGTTCAGTGCACCGTAGAGACCAGGCATTGATCCGTACGTTCTCTTTCTTTAATTCTCTTATCTCTATATATATATATCCATAGAGACTTTATAAAAATGTTTAATTTCTAAGTTGCACCCTACAACATGCACCCGCTTGCAACCACAAATATTGTGACGTACGTGCACATCATATTGTCCAGCTCACCAACTCATGTCGACCGCTAGTTTCACCGTACTCGATCCCCCTCTCAATCTTTTCTCTTCGCCAATCGCTTTTTGCTTGTTGGCCTTGTGTTTGTGGTTGGCTGGAATTGCTTGGGAGCAAGAAAAAGATTCACCACCTTTTAAATGAGAATAGAAAAAGGGATCTAATTTGCACGAACGTCCTGATAATTAAATATACCATTTTGATGACATGGTACTTTTTAGCATTTTGCAGAATGTATTACTTAAAAGGTACGTTATTTGCATATATATATATATATCCCCTAAAGCATAGGTATTTGCATATATAGCCCTTAAAGCATAGGTATTTGCATATATAGCCCTTAAAGCATAAATATACCTATGTTGCATAATGTATTACTTAAAAGGGTTATTTGCATATATAGCCCCTAAAGCATAGGTATTTGCAAATTAAAATACCCCTCAGATCCCAATATTTGCAACAATATCCTTCAAATCATCAACTTTGAAGAAAAAAATATCCTTAAAAGCAACAAAAAAAAAACCTAAATGCCAGAAAATCAATTTGGAGCTAAAATTTTGACTATTTTGTTGATAATTTTTTGCTTTGTGATTAATATGAGGGGTAGTTTTACAAATATTACTGAGATTTAGAGAATTTTTTTGGCAAATACCCATGATTTAAGGAGTATATACACACTTTCTACTCATAAACCGTGATTGTTGCTTTTTAGCATCTTGATTAGTATGAATTTGTATCATCTCCACCACTGAAAGGTAGTGGAGAAACCAGTACTTTTTATACTAATAATTGATTATCTAGTGAGCGAGTGAAATTCATTCTAAATTTAACGCTCATCATACCCTCTCATGTATTGCATCCGTACCTAATTTGTGCTCAAACACAAATCATACTTTTCGATTAGGCAATCAACGATTCTAATAAAGTAGTGGTCTCGGTCTCCCCACTTTTTTAAAGTAGCGAAGAGTGTTTTGTCCACTACTTTTTTTAATAGCGGAGAGAAACTGAATCCAATATTAATAGCCACTAGTATATTTAATATACTAACCCATACTCAAGCCTCTCCGATAGTCCTCAACGAATTAAGTTCAAAATTATTAAGCAATAACACAAGTTTTACAATCCAAGTTATATATCGATCTATGAAATTTGATCTAGAAATGTGATCAGTCGGTGCCAAAAGAAAAGTGATATCAATGAACCATACTGGAATCACCATTCTTGCTCTCAAAGTAAGAGAAACGTAAATTTACTTCATACATATATAGAGCTAATAATAATAATTAATAATAATAATTAATTAATAATAATCCTAATTAAAGCAAGTGAAAGTTTTAATTTCATCCAATCCAAATTAATAATAAATAACTAAAAGCATGGCCCTCTCTCCTGAAACCCATAATGTGGAT